AACCTTCCAATTCAAATCTGAGACTACAGGGCTTCTTTTTATTTATTTATTTTTTTGAGACGGAGTCTTGCTTTGTTGCCCAGGCTGAAGTGCAATGGCACAATCTCAGCTCACAGAAACCTCCGCCTCCCGGGTTCAAGTGATTCTCCTGCCTCAGTCTCCTGAGTAGCTGGGATTACAGGTGTGCACCACCATGCCTGGTTAATTTTTGTATTTTTAGTAGGGATGGGGTTTCACCTGGCCAGGCTGGTCTCGAACTCCTGACCTCAGGTGATCCGCCCACCTTGGCCTCCCGGTTATGGGATTACAGGCGTGAGCCACTGCGTAGGCGACTATAGGGCTTCTACTTAACTGCTCCCTGCTGTATCTTCCACACAGAGAACCTTCAACACAGGACCCTGGGGAAAGCTGGCTGAGGACAGCCCCTAATTACTCACTTGTTACCATACAAAAACTCAGCATAACAATGTTAATGCTGCCGCTAATATAACCACTAAAACAACAGATGTTTGCAAATGTTCCCACTATTCTCCTCCCATTTTAAAACACAATTTTGCGGGCCAAGTATGGTGGCTCAAATCTGTAATCCCAGCACTTTGGGAGGCCAACGTGGCAGGATTGCTTAAGGCCAGGAGTTCAAGACCAACCTAGGCAACACAGCAAGACCTCATCTTTACAAAAATAAAAATAAACTAGCTGAGTGTAGTTGCAATGCCTGCAGTCCTACTTGGGCAGCTGAGGCAGAAGGATCATGGGAGCCCAGGAGGTCGAGTTGGAAGCTGTAGAGAGCCGTGATTGTGCCACTGCACAGTCTGGGTGACAGAGCAAGACCGTCTCAAAAAAAAAAAAAAAAGAAAAAACAGGCCAGGCATTGTGGCTCACCTGTAATCCTAACACTTTGGGAGGCCAAGGCAGGTGGATTGCTTGAGCTAGGAGTTCGAGATCAACTTGGGCAACATGGTGAAATCCCCTCTCTACCAAAAATACAATAATCAGCTGGGTGCAGTGGTGCATGCCTGTAGTCCCAGTTACTCAGGAGGCTAAGGCTGGAGGATTGCTGGAGCTTAGGATGTTGAGATCACAGTGAGCCATGATTGGTCTACAGCACTCCAGCCTGGGCGAGAGCAAGACCCTGTCTCAAAACAAAAACTTTTGTGTGATCAATACATTGTTGGAGCCACTACACACTGTCCCCTTGCCCTCTTTAGTCTTGGCTGCACAGATGAGCAGGACCCTGAGCCTGCCGCCAGATCTCATCATGGCTCTCCCCGACACTACCTGAAGCCCAGTTGCTGGATAGCTCAGGAAGGAAAGGTGGCAGGCCCAAGCTGCTGCACACTGATAGCTTTATCAGGGTCCTTTTTTTTTTTGAGATGGAGTTTCGTTCTTGCCGCCCAGGTTGGAGTGCAATGGTGCAACCTTGGCTCACCACAACCTCAGCCTCCCGGCTTCACGCAATTCTCCTGCCTCAGCCTCCCGAGTAGCTGGGATTACAGGCCAGCTACCCACCACCACTCTGGGCTGATTTTTGTATTTTTAGTAGAGATGGGGGTTTCACCACATTGGCCAGGCTGGTCTCAAACTCCTGACCTCAGGTGATCCGCCTGCCTCGGCCTCCCAAAGTGCTGGGATTACAGGCGAGTCAACGTGCCTGGCCTGTATCAGTGCCCTTTATACTTGGAAGTCAGTTTTGCTGGATATAAAATTTTTGGCTTACTCTTTCCTTGAAAAGTCTTAATTAATCTATTTTCTTCTGGCAGAAAGCTCAGTCCTCAAAAAACTTGATTCCCAGGATGCCCCAAGGATTTTTTTTTTTTAAGTCCAGCACTTTTCCTAAAATATTCTTGGTGTTGGTCCTTCTCAGGCCCTCGCTCTTTCAATGGCACCCATGTGTTTGCTTATTTTCAACAGCATCCCTTTTGAAGGCTTTCCATCCTTTTATTTTGATTTATAAAATCATCCTCATTTTTCACTTGGCATCGTTTTTTCACTTTGCATTCCCTCTAATTTGTCTCAATTTCTGAAAGGATTCCTGCATTTCTAATCTTTCTTGAATTCCGTCACTTCATTTCTGCGTTTTTCTGACTCTGATTATGCTTTTCACATTTCATATCATTTTATGCTTTTTAGTTCATTTTAAAAATTATTTTTGGGCTGGGTGTGTTGGATCACGCCTTTAATCTCAGCACACTGGGAGGCCATGGCAAGAGGATTGCTTGAGCCCAGTTTGAGACCAGTCTGGGCAACATAGCAAGCCTTGTGTTTAAAACAAAATAAAAAATGGGCCAGCACGGTGGCTCACGCCTGTAATCCCAGCACTTTGGGAGGCTGAGCTGGGTGATTACGTGAGGCCAGGAGTTCGAGACAAGCCTGGCCAACATGGTGAAACCCCATCTGTACTAAAAATACAAAAATTAGCCAGGAGTGGTGGTGCAAGCCTGTAGTCCCAGCTACTAGGGAGGCTGAGGCAGGAGAACTGTTTGAACCCAGGAGGCGGTGGTTGTAGTGAGTGGAGATCACGCCACTGCATCCAGCCTGGGTGACACAGCAAGACTCCGTCTCAAAAAATAAAAAATAAAATAAAATACAAAATAAAAATAAAACAAAAATAGTTTTTGAATGTGTTTTCTTTGGTCTGTTTTGCAGGCATGCCCTTCTGGCTTGCTTTCATTGTTGGTGGGAGTGTTACTCTACTCCCCAGTCTGAGCCTTCTATAGGTTTGACTCCGCTACTTTCCTGATGCTCAGTTTTATGGAAAAGTATTTCATAAACATTCAGAATGAAGTAGGCTTCAAGAAAGCTGCTCTGATTTTGCAGTGCTCCCTCTCTGTTGTTTTGTGAAACGTTTAAAACACCACGTCCCATCTGCTTTCATGGCTGCCCTCATGACCCTCCCAGGTACTTGCACAGACTTGGTCCCCATCCTGCTTGACTTGATTCACTCCAAGTGGTGGAACATGCTTTATTTCCTCACTGTGAGGTTCCTTCCAGAAGTGAGACTTGACACGTCAGTCCAAGGAGTCCAGAGGCAGGGCCTGGTCTGCTCCCCTCAACCCTATCCTCTCTCCAACGGCCTCCATGTCCCCAGGCTCCAGGTGCAGCCCAGTTGGTCCGTGCCACCTGCTGAGCACACACTGGCCTTCCCCTGGGGTTCATGTGCCTCCCACTGGGGTTTATGGGGCCTTGTGGCTTCTCCTGCTCTCCCATCCATCCGACATTGTGCGTGTATCCTCTGTGTTCTCCTCCAGACACAGATAACCTATGGGTCTGGTAGGTCTGGCAACTATTGGTGGTTTACCCCAACACGCCTCTAGTTTGGGGTTTATGGGGATACCTTATCACCTAGTTTTGCTGTAAATGACGTCCATAGGTTTCTCTATTATTGACTACAAAACATGTAACAAACGCCGCCATTTCAACCATTTTAAAGTGACAATTCACTTGTCTACAGGTTTTGGGTTTTGCAGTCTAGTTGTACTACCATCTTCCCAGAATCCCTGGCTTTCCAAGGCCTTCGCTTTTCAATCAAAACTGATTCCAACTGGTTTGTTTCATGATGACATTAATAAGAACGCCTCCACCACAACTTAAGAACTGGAAGACAACCTACGGTTTGGGCTCTGCCAAAGTTCTGCAGAGATGGAGTATTAAAGGAAACATGATACATTTTAAGAATCATCACATTGGCCGGGTGCAGTGGCTCACGCCTGAAATCCCAGCACTTTAGGAGGCCGAGGCGGATGGATCATTTGAGGTCAGGAGTTCGAGATCAGCCTGGCCAACATGGCAAAAACCCATTTCTACTAAAAATACAAAAACTAGCCAGGCATGGTGGTGGATGCCTGTAGCCCCAGCTACTCAGGAGGCTGAGGCAGGAGAATCACTTGAACCTGAGAGATGGAGGTTACAGTGAGCCGAGACTGTACCACTGCACTCCATCCTGGGTGACAGCAAGACTCTGTTTCAAAAACAAAAAAAACAAAAAAAACAAAAAAACACAACAACAAAAAAGAACAAACGCATTACTAATGGTTTAGTGGCCCAATATAAACACGCTGCTGTTCAAGATACTCCATTTCAGCGTGGCCCTTTCTGAAGGTGGTCAGGAGACGGGCTGCAGGTTATCATCCTATAACCCTCGCTGACTTTCCAAGCTGCCTCTGGCTTCCACCCTGAGAACTGATCGCCAAGCCAAAAGCTTGGTAACAGCAGGTCCAACTTGACAACAGACACAGAAATATGAGGACATAAAGGGAATCCAGGTAAAAGGCCTCTTCCTTCCTTCCATCGCAGGTTGGCTGAGTCATCAAACTTCAGCACAGCTAAGATCCTGCCTGCCTGTGGACACACTCACAGCCCAGGCCCAGTATGGACGTGCAGGGCACCCTCGGTCTCCCCTGCTTCCCACCCAGGTGCCAGCCAGACCCCTTGGCTGTGTCCTACCAAGGACTGACTCTAGGAAAGTCAGTGATCCTGCAGTTCCCAGTTGGTGAGGAACTGGCTTCTGCACCCTGGCACGCTGCCCTGAGCTGCCTTCTGGTCTGCCCTGAGCTTCACCAAGCCAGCAGCCTGCTCCGCCCGCTGAGTCACGACCGGAAGACCCACTGACTGGCAGGGGAGTGGAGATAAGGTAACCCAGGCTTCTAAAGGTCCACACCTGCCTATTTTATTTTCTTGGAGGTGCCTGATGAAAGCAATCCTTTTTATCACGACAGAAACATCACAGCGGGGATCGCCCCATCACAGTGATGTCTGATCTGGCTGCGTTTAAGAAAAACCATGTCATGTCTTCTTACAGAAGCGAGGATTTCAAACACTGGGTTCGCTTCTGCATCAGCAAACATACGGCTGTGACCTGAGGACGGGCCACTCACCTGTGAAACAATCCCACACAAGCTCTGGCTTCAGAAGCTCTCTTCTTTCTTCAATCTCTAAAATTCTCCTAAGAATTTCAAACTATTCAAGGAAAACTGGTGTTTCACAGTAAGAAAAAGACATTCTTTTCTTTAAACAGTTCACATTTATTATTGATAACAATAAAAAAATCTTTTAAAGACTATCAGTATTGTATTACCAAGTGAGGTAATATGTTTACAAAACATTTACAGAATTTGATATGCAAATAACAAATTTAGGAAGGAAAGTGAATTAAGACATAAGTAATAGAGGGAAAATCAAAGAATCATTAGTACTAAGAAACGGGAAATGACAGCAGCGTTTTAAAAGAGTGGCAAGGTACTAAAAGTAGAGACACGATGCCAACTGCATCCTCAAACCATAGCTGCCCCAGAATTCCCTTACAAGGGGAGTGAGCCTGGATTACTCGGGAGGAAACCCTGTAAGCATTTGTGCCGTCATGTGCTTTGAGCTCTTCACGATGCACTAAACTCTTTGGGGAGAAAAGAATGCCACTCCCGAATCAACTTAAAAAGAACAGATCTTCAGCCTGGGAGGGGGCAGGGGATGGCTGCAATTCAAACAGTTCTATAAACATCTCTGGGCACATGAGGACTCTTCAGTGAAGCATTTTCTTGGCAGCTGTCAGCAAAATCGCCATCTGAGACACAGAGAAAGAGAGAAAGAGAGAGAAAGCAGGGACCATCTTCAGGTCCTTGTGATTTGGGAATAGGAAGCACCGGGTGGAAGCAGCACAGATGCACTACTAACCCTACCTACTAACCCTACTGCGCTTTCCGGAAGCAAGGCTTCGGGTACCACTGAGGAGCTCGATCTCTAAGAGCAAACACACAAATGTGGTCCAAACGCAGGCGATCACAGCAGAGGCCCCAGGACATCTACAGTGTGCAGGCAGCCACTAGGGCAGACCCGGCCGGGCCAGAGGGCTGCTTGGTCCCTCCCCTGCCCTCCTGATCCCTGCACGGGGCGCACACAGCCTCCACACAGCTCTCCAGTCACGCAGCACCACCTAGTGCCTTCAGAGCGGAGCTGAGACGGCACAACCAGGATTTCCATGCCTACCACGCACACAGGTGACAGCCGCGTGGGGTGTGGCATGACAAACACGTCCTCTGCTGCACACAGAAACACACGTTCCATGTCCTTATTGTGGAGGCCATCCCCTATGCAACTTCCGGACAGATTCTCAAATAACCTGCTTTTCCCATAAAAAGCTGAAAAAATAAGGGCCTGTACCAGCTAGAGCAGGCTTTAAAATCAGGAATTAAACAGAAAATGTAAAAGACAAACAAATCCCATATTCTGATTTGCTTCTATGAAGACTCCTTCATTACTCAAACTAAGTTTCTACTCACCCCGTCCCCCCAGCACCCCCACCGTCATGCACACATGCACACACACAGTACATGCACGCACACACACGCATGAGTCCGCAATTCCCATGTACACAGAAGCAAGGCTCCTACACACCAGAAGCCACCCTGAAGTGGATGAGGGAGATGCTGCTTAGCTATTAATAAAACCCCGTGGACAGTGTCAAGCGGCAAACGCGACTTGCTGGTTCCAAGACGGCCTCCTAGCGGCTGGAACTGTCTGGGCTCTGAGGACAATGAGCCACCAGAGGGCACAGAGGAGATGGGCTACACCGGGCTGGGAACCGACTGCAGGTGAGAAGGGCGGAGCGGAAGGAAACAGGGAAAGAACCCCCCACCCAAGTTCACATACAGAAAAATCCTGCTCTAAAAAGTATCAGAGAGATTTGAAAAGGACGAAAGAGAAAGTCACGTTTAACAATGGCAGCATTTTCCTAGAGTCACCAGGAGTCCCCGAGAGCCCACTTCAGGACAGTGGGTGGTGTGGGTGGGTCTGGCCCTGGGGCAGGGTGCTCCGCAGGTGGCCTCTGAATCCTCAGAGGAAAAGGGCCTCAAGGGCTGGCCCTAAGTCCACAGACCATCTCGACTGTGGCGGGAGGCGTGGGGGCCGCAAGGCAGCTTGGGGGCAGCGAGCTGGCAGCTTCCGTCCCGGGTGAGGAGGGGCCATCTCTGGACGGTGTCACAGGAATTCATTCACTAATGGACAACGTGGAGTTCGTTGGAAAAATTTTTTGCATCAACATCTGAGACCACGTCAATCCTTTAATTGGTATAGAAACTACTTTTCTTTCGAGAGAGCCCTTGTGCTCTGGTTTGATTTTGTGCACAACGTATACAAAATCTATGGCTATGGAGTTAAGTTAGGTTCAGAGTTAAAACTACCTGCCAAGGTAGTTTTGGGATCAAACGCCTACATTTAGCATCTGAGAGCTATCTGCTACCTAGAGGTGAGGGGAGTCTGTACAGTGTCGCCCTGGGCGGGCGGGCGCAGCGGGCGGTCCGAGGAGGGGCGGCCGTCACACCCTAGGTGCAGGCAGCGCGCACTACCTGGAGAGCACGGAGCTGGAGTGGGACTGGCTGGAGGAGGTGGTGGCGGCACTCAGCTGGGAAAAGCCGCTGTGGCTGGACTCCAGGCTCGTCATGGAACCTCTGTGATGGCACAGGGAGGGGCGAGGCGTGAGGACCACCCTGCCAACCACCCGCCTGCCCACACTGCTCTCTGCTCACTTCTCAACCCCACCAGTGCTTGCAAACGGGGGATGGACCTGAGTAACCCACCCAGGGGGCCGGCTTCCCACAGCCTGCACACAGACGGCAGCGTGAGCGAAAGCAAAGGCAAAGTCGGCCCTGTCTCTGACACGCTCCCTCTGCAGACATGCAGGGAGCCACAGTGCCACTCCCTCCTGGTCCCCGGAGCATCCCCGAAACCCGATGCCACTGCTGATCCTGCACACGGCGTGGGACTGCAGCCTCCCTCCAACCACGCCCAGCCGTCCGCAGCACCTGCTGTGGGGAGAGCGGCCGCACCTGAAATCCTCCGAGCCGATCACCTCGGTGTAGTACATCACTTTACACTTGTGTGAAGAGACCTGCAGGGATGCGAGCACGTCGTCCACCCGGGGCAGGCTGCTGGCAGCGCACGCGGGCATGCTGTGGAATTTCCACTGCAGGATGTAGAAGCCCGGCCACCTGGTCACATGGGAACCCTAGAACAAGCAGAGCAGTGGCAGCTGAGGGCAACTCGCTTCCGACCCCTGGCCCACCACAGGCTGTGACAAGCGCCAAGGGGGACTGTCTTTAGGATTTCATGTAGCTACAGGAACTATCTCAACGGGATTCAGAACCTATTTTGCTTCACTGGTAGGTTTGACAATGTCCTTCCCTCTACTGAGTGTAGTCACTCCCGGATGCTGGGAAGCCCAGAGGGACAAGCTCCGTGTCCGTGGCCCTCACGAGGCACCCCAGCCCACCCCACCTATGAAGGCAGGAGCATGGTGGGCTGGTGGTGCTCATGCTGGAGGGCGGGCTCAGCACAGCCTCCCTGGACCCAGCCTCACTTTCTCTGACACGCTGCCAATCATCCAGCATGTTCGGGGCTGAAGGTGCGTCACCCTAGAGAGAGACAGTCCGCGGAAAGCTCCTCCATTCTCTCTGAAATTCGTGACTGTGGTAACACAGCTTAGCTGTTGATTGTTTTTAAAATGGACAAAGGATTCTTTTACTCTGCCTCTAAGACCACTGAAACACTGACAAGGCTTACCCCTGAAAACTGTAAAGGCAGCAAAATGATGCATCTATTACGAAGGCCAGAAGCAACCCCCGCCCCCGCCCCAAGGCTACTGTGAGCACAGGCACCCAAAATAACCAGCCACAATGTGAAAAGGGAACTGAAAGCATTTGAAACAAATTAGGAGGTTTGGTAATGAGAGTTAATAGTTCTCTAAATACTTGTCCCTCTTATTTCTATTTAGGGTGATTTTCCTTTGAAAAAGACAAATGCAACCCGGTGAAATGAGGCTGGGGGGAAAATCCTCTGAAGCCCAGCTGGGCCTGTGCGTGCGATGCCTTCCCTTCCTGTCACACGCTGCTTTCGGGAAAAGTCACAGATTCTGTCCAAAACCACTGCGAGGCCTGAACTCTCTCCTGGGAGACCCACTTGGCCTTCTGAGTCCCTCTGCTCCCCCAGGCGAGCTGCTCCTCCACAGGCAGTGCCTCAAAAGCTACACAGGGCTGCTCAGGGAGCGAAGCAAAGACTCCTACTCAAGACAGAATCACCAGCCGCACGGAGTCACAGATGCGCGATCTGCCCATGTGTGGTTTTACCTGCACGCTTTCTCCTTCTTTGCAGATCAGCGGCGACTCCACCATGCTGTAGTCGCGGCCCAGCTGCCAGACTTTGTCTATGAGCTGCACGTTGTTCCCACCTGGAGAGGTGATGCTGTGGGCTCCCAGCGAGTCCTTTTTGGCTGGCTGTGGCGACCTCTTGGAGTGATAGATGTTAAAGACAATGTCCCCTTTGCACACGTCGAAATCCCAAGTGATAACTGACGAGGCATCCACGATCTGAATGAGAATCTGAAAAAGAGGCAGCGTCAGGCGGCCACGATCCACGAGTACCAGGCCCACGTGCTGCCAGCGCACCGTCCCCCGCGGGGGCTCCGGCGTGCAGGTGCTGAAGCTGGGGAGGGAAAGGCTGAATGTGTACGGGCAGATCTCTTTCCTCAGAGTCACACGCCACCATCCATTCAACCGCTGGATCCCGATACGTGTCATGCACCAAGCTCTGTGCTCTTTGTGACCTGCACCTATAGGCCCAAGATCTCCCATACACCATCTTCAGACACACTCTAAGAGGCCAGGTCTTAGTAACACCAAACGCTGTGAGCTCACACACGAGTGGTTCAGAGGATTGCCCTCGGCTGGAGAGAACAGAAGGCCCTGGTGAAGGTGAGAGCTAAAGAAACAGCAGGCGGGGGAGCCGGAGGACGGCGTTCCCTGCGAGCGGGAAGCAGGGGCACGGAACCGGGCCTCCCATGTGAGGCTCGCACGGGAGAACAGTGGCAAGGCTGGGTGAGTGGGATGAGCCCCTGGCATGGTAGAGGTGGGGTTGAGGCGGTCAACCCCTGGATGCTGAGAACCAATCGAACACTGAACTTAGACACAGCGCCGACAGAGCTTCCCCACAGGGAATGATCAAAGTTAGTTTCAAAGATTAGTGAGGGAGGGACGTGAGAATTAAAATCAGCTGTGCAGAGTTCTGCCCTCACTGAAAACTCCACCTAAGGAAGCAGCAGAGCCAGGCCCGCGGCCCCTCTCGTCAGCCCACTGCACACCGCCTGCTGTGCCCTTCGGCAAGTGGCTGCTCTACAAGCCGGGCTCCCTTTCAATCCCGCCACTGCCACCTCACCACTGAAATGCCACTTCGGAATGTCCTTCCACGGCAGATTCAGTGAGGTCCAAGAGTCCTGTCTAAGAACAGCAGGCAGCACTATGTGGCACGGCCTGCTCTCCAGCAAAGCGGCTCCCCAGGCAGCTCCATCCTGAGGCCTCGACCCCCTGTGCTGACGGCACCTCTTTCCTGCATTCACAGTGCGGCCTCTGCTCCAGCCTGCCTTTAGGTTTGTTGCCATCTCAGATCTGTGCTTTATTTAATAGCCAAAGCAGAAGTGAGGTTTTTACCATGTGGATGTTTACAATGCCCCCGATTCACATGAAACACACTGCATCCCAAGTTCTTGAAACATGGACAAGAGCGATCGTGCCTAACAAACAAGGAACAAGGACTCGGCCCCTGGAGCCTGCCCTCCTGGTAAGAAACGAATACAGAGAATCCTCAAGACGTTATGAAATCTGAGACTCCCCTGCGTGTGTATCTACAAGTAAGGCACACCAAATCTGTCTCTGCTCGTTCAAACCATGGCAACAGCATTCCCTTATCCACCTGCCTGCAAGCACCAGGTGAGCTGCTCAGGAAGACGCCCCAGCAGAAGCCACTGGCAGATGGCTGACCCAGGCGCCACCACGGCAGGAAGCAGGCCGCAGTCAGCTCCTGGCCAGCACCATTGCCCAAGCCAGCACCACAGCCTCACCGAACACTTGCTCTGCACAGAGCGTCACTGTCCTCTCCAACAACTCTGGGCCACGAACCTTGCCCTAGCTGAGAAGGGAGATTCCGGTGCAGGCCCCTCCTGCTTCAGGTCACTCGTGATGCTACAGGACAGACATATGGCGTGCACAGGAACGCGGAATGCCCCTGCTTCTCTACCAAAAGTGACAGCAAGAAAGGAACACAGGAACATGCTCCTTGCTCCATTAGACTTACAGAAACAGGAAAATTCCCAAAATATCTATAAACAACCAAAACCCAGTCAAGAAAAAGTAGCAAATGGGCCAGGCACAGTGGCTCACACCTGTAATCCCAGCACTTTGGGAGACCGAAGTGGGTGGATTACCTGAGGTCAGGCGTTCGAGACTAGCCTGGCCAACATGGTGAAACCCCTCCTCTACTAAAAATACAAAAATTAGCTGGGCGTGGTGGCGGGTGTCTGTAATCCCAGCTACTTGGGAGGCTGAGGCAGGAGAATTGCCTGAACCCAGGAGGCGGAGGTTGCAGTGAGCCAAGATCGAGACACTGCACTTCAGCCTGGACGACAGAGCGAAACTCTGTCTTAAGAAAAAAAAAAAAAAAA